TAATTATTTTAATTATTTTTATTAAAGTTGCCCCTGGTATAGGGGCAACAGTAATGGGGCAAGATAGGCACGTATATAAAATTATGTTATTAACAATGTATAAGTTGGAATTCACTATTAAAACAAAGAAATACAAATCCAACACCCATTTAATATTATTACAACGAAATGCAAGTATATTTCACTTTTTTGCTAAAACTACACATCGCACGTGAATGGTGTTTGTATGTGGTGATAGCCCCAAGTCTCCATTCGTGCATACGGGTAGTGGCGTCTCGATAGCTATAAGGATGCGGGAGATATGAGGCTGAAAGTGGTTGAAAGTGGCTTTCTATTTCGAATGTTTTGTTCGAATTAAATTTGAACATAAAATTCGGATATTGGTTCGACTATAGAACGATCGTAAACGTTCCAGAAACGTTGAAAATAGTTCGTTTGACTAAACGTAAAAATTCTCTAATTAGTCTGGAAACGGGGGACCTAATTCTTGCATTCTGTGAAAACGGTTAAGATTGGCTATAATGTAATTATCTTAATCTTCACTATCGTTACTTTTTAAAAACCCAACGAAGTCTTTCATTATTGTTTAAAAGAAATTTTAGTATATTTCATAGGTAACAAACCAAAGATGATTGGTGTAGAATATGACAGTGCTGTGATTTACCAATAAAGAGTTATGAACCTAAAATAAAACCGTACGTCATTTTGTCCGTATCTCCCCTACATTTTCGGTTTTAACGTTACGTTTGAAGCCCGCGGGACGATTTCGGCATATCGTTTTCCGAGAAATAAGAAATAAAGTGGTGGGAACGGCGCCGCGCGAAAAGTTTCGTCGCGTTGACGTTCCCTTTCACATCGGACCACCGCCTCTGCCGTACGCACTGTACGAAGTAAAATAGCGCAACACGGGTTTATCTTTTAACACTTAATAGCCGGTGTTTTCCCGAAAATCTCGTAGGCGTCGCGCTTGGCTGGCCACTCGCCACTCGCCAGTCACCGCCGGAGTACGGGAAGCAAATGGCAGACGGAGAGCGCGCGTAAATGACACCGACGGGATCGTATTTTACTGTCGCCTCCACCCCCAATCGGCCCGAGCTATTAAAAGAAGAGGGGCGACGGGAATATTCCACTTTCGCCTTCCGTTTCTGCAGCTCGTTCCAAGTATCTCTGTTTTGTTTTTCAATTATAACAGTGCGTAAAAGGAACGTAAACTTACCTTCCATGTCGTCTGCCAGAGCCCTTTTGGAAGCGGGCCTCAGGTCGTAAGAGAAAGAAGCCGTCCTTCGTAGCGGCAGACGGGCGCCGGGTTGCGACTCCACGTACAGGGCGGCGCGGCCGTCCACCGAGGCGAAACAGCGGAGTAGATCCAAGGGACTGCCGTCGTCGGGGGCGAACAGGGGATGCAGCTTGCGTCGTCCTTCCAGATAGAGACGAGCCCCGGCCCAATCCGGGCCAACTCGCAGGCAGCCGCGAAAGTCGCGGCCGGAAGTTCCGTGTCGCAACACCACCCTGAGGGCGCCTCGGGGATAGCGCCACTCTACTCTCCCTTGGCTGCAGCGAAGATACACGGGGCGCACCCCGCGGAAGGATTCCGGATGGTCCAGTCCACTGCAAAATAGAAAAAAAAGAAGAAATTGCCATCAGAAGAGGAATACGAAACTTGCTCTATTGTAATTCCTCTTCTGAAGGACCAACTATCGCGCGGTATGGTCAATTCTTTCGTATTGGATGGAACTTCTAAACAGATTTTAGATCGTATTATCAGCGTAAAAGCATCGAAAACATGATAATTTAAAAAGATATTCCTGGGCATAAACCTACGAATGACCGATTGACGTTACTTTTGGGAGCTAATGCTAGTAATAATATGAAGCTTATCCCGCTTCTTGTCTATTATTCTGAGAACCCTAGAGCATTAAAAAAACATTCCGTAATTAAAGAAAGACTGCCATGATGTGGAGATCGAATAAAAGAGCATGGGTTACGTAGGTTTTTTTTCAAAGAATGATTGTGCTCCAAGCATCGAAGATTACCTTCAGACCAATGAATTGCCATTAAAAGCACCGTTGCTATTGGATAATGCACCAGGACACCCAAAAGACCTTGAAGATAATTTGCTGGAAGACTAGTTGACAGTTCAGTTTCTACCTCCGAATACCACTTCGTTGATTCGACCAATGGATCAAGAGGTTATTGCGAGTTTCAAGAAATTGTACTCGTACGTTCGAGCATTGTTTCGTCGGTGTTTCGAAGCATGCAAGTTCTCCTCAACGATGTTATTAAAAGTGTTTTGGAAAGAAATATTTGACATTCTTGAAGCTATTCTTGAAGCTCATTCAAAAGGCATGGTCAGAAATCACTCAACGACAGTTGAATTCTGCTTGGCGAAAGCTCTTTCCCTCCTGCATTCGGGGAGAGGGAGAGGATGTCCCTGAAATTATGAATGAAATCGTGACAACTGCTAGAGATCTGGAATTGGAGGTGAATTTAAAGAGCTCATAATGGAACCTGAAACTGATCTGACGACAGAAGAACTCCAAGAACTCTTAAATGAAGAACACCAAGAAACTCAGAGAGATGTGTTTTCTTCCGAAAAAGAGGAAGACGAAAGAGGATCAATGCCGACATCTGCCATTAAAGATCTCTTGAAGAAGTGGGAAGATGTCAGAACAACTGTCTTAGAATGGCACCCAAATGTTTTAAGTATATTGGAATAAATAAAAATTACAAGCCTTTTTAAGTATCTCACAGTTGAAACAATTACAGTCGACCACCCCTATAACACTGTTGATAATTCCGTGTTATATGAATTCCATGTTGTACGAGTCACTTAGATTTTCAAATACGTGCCGGGCTGCGAACGGCTCACGTATTTGTAAAACTTAAGTGACTCGTACAACATGGAATTCATATAACACGGAGTTATCTACAGCGTTATAGGGGGTCTACTGTACTGTAATATTTCGATGGAGAGCCACAAATTTATAAGGGGGGAAATAAAGATGAAAGTTATCTAGGTAATAGCATAAGCGAATACCGTAACACTCGAACGACCTAAGGCTACACTCTTCCGGTGTAGGAACATCTTGGCCAATAGTTAATAACTTCCGGCGTTATTAACTAGCGACGGCAGAGGACCCGTCTGCCAAAACGGGCAAATTAAATAATATAGAAGTAAAGCTCGATTGCTCTTCAACCCACGGCCGGAGGAAAGTCGATAATTCAAATATAGAAGACAAAACAAACGGCTGACGGGGAATAGAAAATGACGGCCCGAAGGAAGAGTATAACTTCATATTAAATCACGTTACGGTATTTTAAAGTTTCTACCCGCCGTCCTTTTCCTACCGCTTTGTACTTTTGAATTTCCACCCCTAAGCTATTTCGCTCTATTACATTCGCCTTTGTTAGACTACGCCCGCTACTTTCACCGTCGTGTGACGCCACAAACGTCCTTCCACCGGCACCAGTGGCACGAGCTAGGGGCAATCCACGTCACACTACGGTACCGTACGTGGTCGAGCAAATCTTAGGACAAAATCTGCCGACGCATTTAGAATTTGACCCGGCAACCCGCGTCGGACGGGCCGGTCCGGAGGCGACGCGCGGTTGTTTACATTACGTCGGCCGTTAATAGTACTGTACTGTACTTTATCGGGGCGCAACTACCGCGGAGCGCGTGGGCCACCGAACGATGCGCGAGGAAAGAAGAGTATCGGCCAGGGAACGGAGTCGTGGCATTAAAACGGAACCGACGCCGCGCTTCTACCGAAAAAGCAACCTTTACTCACTCCGCGTGCGTCACCGGCGCGCCCGAGACGAGACGACGCGTGGCGGATTAATTAAAGGCGTGGGTGCTGCGCGCGACGACGTCTTCTCCTCTCGGCCTTCGACCCGTCGCTCGTCTCCCTCCCGCAACTCTCGGTATTTCGACTTCCGGCGGACTTTGTCGGCGGTGCCCTGGACGGGCTTCCGGCCCGAAAGGGTCCGCTCCCGTCTTCCCGGTGACCCTCCCCGATTGCCCCTCTCTTCCCTCCGTTTTCTCCCCCTTACCCCTCCGTCCGGAGGCCCGGGGTCTGCCGCCCGCGGAAAGAGGAAAGCCACTCACCTTCCGGTCCAGTCGCATCCATCGGAGGCGCGGGCCCTCCGGGGGCACAGGGCCACCAGCGCCACCAGGGTCCAGGCGGTGGCCGCCCGCATCCTAGGCGCGGGCCGGCCGGAGCGCGCCACCGCCGCCCGCCGCAGAAGCCCGGCCGGGAGCCGGACGCCGTCGACCGTCCACCGCGTCACCATCCATGGACCGAATGAGTCGGCGGCGCCCGTTTGCTCCGGGCGGCGGTCGGGACCGGTCCACTCGGGGGGGGAGGACGGACGGGTCCATTCGACGGAGGGAAGAAGGCCGACCGCGCGGCGTCTCGACCGTCCCGTCCCGGACTCCCGTCGGTTTCCGGAGGGCGGCCGTCCGGTCCCGCGGCGCGCGTCGTTCCGTCCTCCGCCGTCCCGCGGCGCGCGGACCGGGCCGGGCCGCGGCGGACGGTTCCGCACCGCGCGCTCCGTCACGGGGGGGAACGGACGGGCCCGGCGGCGGAAGGCGTGGGCCGACGGCGGCTCTTCGGGCGTTTTTTCTTCCGGCCGTCCCGGGTACGAAAGGGGGAAAGCGGCGGCGGCCGAGGTGAGGTGACGGGACGGAAGGGCGCTCTTCCGCTTCCCCTTCTTCGCCCGTCCTTCGGCCAAAAAGGCCACCAGCGGGTTTTCCGTCGGAGACGCCTGCGTCGTCTCCGCACGCGCTGGCGACGGGTGACGGCACCCGCGGGTTAGCTTCCGGTAAACTGTAGAATAAGAAATAAGAGTGGCCGGAGATCCTCCCCCGGCGGCGCGTGGTGAGAGGCCAAAAGCCACCGGCGGCGGGGGGAGCGATAGGGAGGGGAGAGTGGGCCACTTCTCCCGGAACGGGCCTTGGGCGCGGATGGGAGGTAAGTGCCGGCTAGAGGAGCGGAGGGAAGCGCCCTTCCCCTCTCGGTAAGTGGGCGGTTCCCGGGAAGTACGGAAGAGGAAATAAAAGGGTCGCGGAAGAGGAACTTTACCGTCTTCCGGGGACTTCCGCCATTTTTCGTAGGCGGGGCGAGAGTCCGGCGGACGGAACGGGGAAGGGCGGAGGAGGCAGGCGATTCAGATTACCTTTCGGCGTCGAGGGTTGAGTTTTATTTGGTTGAGAATTTCTAAGCTTTGGAAATTTTGCCAAAGGGACGGGCGACCAGGTTTTAAAGTATTTGGTAAAGGTCAATTTACAGACTTATTTACCTAACATGTCAAAATTGTGGGATGTAGGAATAGTAATTTTGCGGAAATGTAGATAAAGCCGCGTGTGTCGAGTGGTCGAGTGCGGGTGTAATTATGGAAAACGTTAACAAAATATAGTTTTTCCAGCCGAGGAAAACTTTTGCGCCTTTCCCCGTGGCAGAATCGGTAGGAGATTCTTCCTCATTTGGTTCCTCTGGGTCGATATTGTTAAAGAGCGCCGTCACTTCACGTTGGGAAAATGTTCCTTCCGCTCCGAACGACGGGGGTAAGCCGGTCGCCCACCTCTCTACAGTCAATTCCGGCGTAATTTTCGTATTATTCCGTCCGACGGCCGCGACTCGGGGCAACCCGGGGGACCGTATCCGTCCTAAAGATTACTTTACCTACCTATTAACCGGTCGACCGCCGGCGTAACCCATAATTAATTGATTAACCGGTCGTCCGCTTATTCTAGTTTACGCCGAGCAGTAACACAAACTTATTGTTTTTCGTGACTGCACTCGTCCCGGGCGGCAGGAAATTCCTATTAATAACGGCCGGAACCACACGTTTACCGTTTTCCCAGTGCGGTTGTGACTGCGCGCCGTCTTCTCTCCCTTACCGTATCCCCCACCGCCGCGGGGGGACGGAAACGTGGGGACCGTCGGCGTAATTGTAAACTAGCTGATTTAGCTCGGACGAGAAACTTCGGTGGGGCCCTAACCCGGCCCCACCGAATATAAACGATGATGAAGACCGTCGTATCTTCTCCGGGTGTGAATCGTGCGTATTTGCTCTATTGCTTTCTTTAAATGCAGAGAAGTGACGTCCTCATCCTCCGACGGGGATTTTCCACCTCCTCTCGACTTTCGTAAGAGCCGATTATCCGGCCTCGACCGGTTAGACGGAGGGTGGATCGGCCAACTACGCTCGTCGAACGGGGTCGAAGGTCGAGGCGGTCTTACCGGTGGCGGTTCCTTTAGAATCGGCCGGCGACCAAACAGTAGAGGGCGTAACCGGTTTGACCCCGGAGACCCGGGTTCGTCGCCTTCCCACTCTTTTCTCGTAATTTTCTATTTTCCGAAAAGTCGTCGTTCGTCCTCCCCCCCAAAAAAAACTTCGTCTCGACGCCGCCTCATCCGTCGTTATATGCCGTCTCTCCCTCCCACGAAGGAGAAAATAAAGGACGAAGAGAAAATGGCAGGATTAAGGACAAACGGGCGCGACGTCTTCTGGGGAAGGAGGCTTTGTTAGGGGACAAACCGGTAAAAGCGGCCGGGGAGAGAGAGACGCCGTCTGTAATATTTGGCGTGGGCGACGGGTCGAGACCCCCAAGAAAAGTCTCCGCCTTAAGAAGGTCACGGGCCGTCGTCTTCTAAACTTTCTTTTTTAAACCATTATCCCATTAAAGCAATTAAATGTTTGCGTAAATATTGCCGACGACAGAACGGATCACGTCGTCTAGGTGATCGTTTCCTACTCCTTTCTATTCATCCAACGCTTAAAACAATTTCGGTGCCAATACGGTACGAACTTCTTACCAGATTTTATTACCTTCGAATATTAAAAAGAAAGAAAAAAAGAAACAATCCTTTCTAAATCAGTAATAACATAGACAAACTGCTTTATTTCATCGCCTGTATTTTTGTAGTTCAAAGGTTAAGTTCGAAGGAAAATTTGGTAAAATCTCGTTCGAAAGACAATTGTTTTCTTATGTAATGTGAAAAATTTCAAGATTTTCTATCGAAATATAAGCAATAGAAAAGAGCAAAATTGCCAAAAAAGCTATATTTTCTTCTTCTCCTCCTCATCCTCCTCCTCTTTTTTTCATCCGATACTGCAGACTCTCGTAGAGGGGGGAAAAGAAACACTACCGAATCTAAAAAGGTCAGATTTTAAACTTAAGCTTTTCTGGTTATCCTTGAGGTCTTCGCCAAACTTCCTGGACGATAGGTCAAAGTTCACGAGGGTTTCTTATAAAGCTAATTCGATTTTACGGTGTAATTGCTTATAAAAAATAGTAATAATAATAATAAAATTGAATGAAAACAAAACGAATTTCATTCGAAATGTTACTCGGAATTACAAAAGTGAATGAATATATCCGGCAAATATTACTATATTTAGCTTTTTATTAAATTGTTTTCTTGTGTCAGATCATCATCTTAGTTATATTATTATTTTATTACATTTTTTTCCCTTACATTTTCATATGTTTTGTTAATTAAGAGAAACTTAATTTGAAGCGATAGAAAATTATTATGTTCTTCTTCTGATATAAAAAGCCAATGCAATTGAAATAACCTTGAAGATAAAGCAAAGTTATAAAAATGACTTCATATTTCAAGGTGCTAAGAGAGAAACAAGTTATGTCACATTGTTTAAAATACCGAGTCACGTCACCTGATAGGTAAATGTCAACTTAGCATTCGTAACACGAGTGATGGATGTAAAATAGAATGGTTCATTAATTACAAGTCGACCCCCCTATAACACTGTTGATTTTTCCGTTTTATATGAATTCCATGTTGTACGAGTCACTTAGATTTTACAAATACGAGTGCACGGCTATGATTGGCTCACATATTTGTAAAATCTAAGTGACTCGTACAACATGGAATTCATATAAAACGGAAAAATCAACAGTGTTATAGGGGGGTCGACGTCACTCGGTGTGATAAACCCTTACGTTAATATAACCTTTGTAAATAGAAATCAAATACTATAATATAATACAATAGAGGGGTTAGAAGCACGAAATAAGCTAATAATCTTAACATTCGTTCTTAATTTTTTCCTATTTGTTCCTATTTAAATATCTCATAATAAAAACAATTAGTGACATTCCTTGTTATTCACTTCATCCTTTATTTTATGTATTTAATTTCACTTACTATTAAAATTGCTATTGTAGTCGTCATTCCGTATACTATTTGTGCTTTATCCTGCAATATTTCAGACAGTTTGTCTAAACAACCCTACAATATATTAAAAGATTAGAACAGTATAATACACCCCTAGTATAGTACACCCCTATAACACTGTAGATAATTCTGTGTTATACGAATTCCGTGTTGTACGAGTCACTTAGATTTTACAAATACGTGTGCCGGGATGTGAACTGCTCACGTATTTATAAAATCTAAGTGACTCGTACAACATGGAATTCATATAACACGGAATTATCTACAGTGTTATAGGGGAGTCTACTGTATACAAATATATTTAATAGATAATGTATAAATTATTTATTCTGGATCAATATTATTATAATTGTAATTGAAGTATGAGCTATTTATAATAATTTCATTGGAATTTATTTGTTTAAAACTTACTTTTGGATGTTTAATCTCCACTTTATTAACTCGACAAGACATTGTTATATTTCCCTTGTAATCTAATTCTCCTGTCACACCACAACATTTAAACTAGTGAAATAACAGAATTTTAATATTAAAATTTAAATTAATTAATTAAAAAATGCGTATGAAACTTACCAAAAATTCAATAGAAGTGAAGAATTTTGTATTGAGTAAATAGCCGAGTAATTGCTTTTCCACTGTATATTTTATCTATTTTGTTAATTAATTAGAAAATTATAAAAATTATTAAAAGACTAACAAATTATATTTATGCAAATTAATTTTAATTATAATTCAAACCTTTTTTCCGGTCAAATACATTGTCATAGAGATTACTATTACACAAAGGATTAGAGGAAAAAACAACGAACTGGCAAACTAGATCGAAAATTATATTTTTCAATATAATAAATGATAAATATTATTATAATATAAAGATTTTTTTTGTGTAGATGATGGAAAATTCGGTTAAAACAAGAGCATTCCTCGTTTTATCTCCAACTTTACCCTCTTGCAGGTGCGAATCCACACCCGGCATTAATTAAACCACTTATTTAAATATATATAAACATACTTACACAACATAACAGTAGTAAACTTTCTAGACACACTCCGCAACATCCAAGAAATCCTATAAAGAAGGCGGTAAGTCCGACGATAATAATCAGATACGAAGCAATTCTCAATAATTCGATCGATTTTAGCGGTTCGTCTATGAATAACTTCATCACTTGAGGATCTTTTAATATCCATACTCCAGTTATTGTGACGATTATACCGAAAACCTAAAAGGAATTAATTTTGTTTTTACCGGATACATTATTAGAGAAATTGAGGCCGACGTTTTCACCGCGAAAATGTATACGTCAGACTTCCTGTGAGCCTAGAAGTTTGACAATGGCGTTTGGAACGTCGCGACGTTCCAAACGCCATTGTTAAACTTCTATTATTTTCTTAAGAAGTATGCGAAATTTCAAAATTTTCTGTAAAACGGTTGTCGAAATATAAGCCCGAAAAGCACGAAACAGTGTTTTCTCCTCCTCCTCCTCCATCTAGCACTTCATACGCTCGTAGAGAAAAAACTACTGGGTCTATAAAAGTGTTAAAATATAGGGACATAGCGTTAAAGTTTTTCAGTATAAAATGAATATTAATTTATTATTTCAGCCGCTTTCAACAAAAAAAATCATCACACTAATAGTTAAATATGAAAGTCAACGTTCTTCCCAATGCAATAGCATTGTCATCTGGTCGTCTTAAAACCGGAAGGAGAACTTTCAGAAGCAATAAAGCCAACCAGGATCATCATCTGCCAGTAACTCGGTTCGAAATACAGTGTGTAACTCAACCAATGGAACAAAGAATCCTTTCTCTGGCCAATGATATAGAATAGTAAACGATAAACTAAATGCATTTATGACTCGCTAAACCGCAATGTTTCTACCTTCATTGGTTTCCCATCCGAGATCAACTCGGATTCAACTGTTACTCAATTAGAATTTTTAAATGTTTCCCTTGTAAAATAAAGTTATTTAATTATTCCAATACCATAGCAAAGCACGCATATTCTTATAAATGAATTACTTACCAGTGTTATTATATTATTAGCAAACAAAATAAACTTGACTATCATCGTAAACGCTTTGCACAAGATTCATTTATCTTTTTAAAAAATTCGAACTTTCGTTTAAGTCGGTTCGATATTCAACGAAGAAATTTCGAATTATAAAAGCACGAGATTCCCATTACAGCTGTAACGATCATCGCCAGTGTTTTTAACTTAGGAAATTTATTATTACAGACGTGTATTTTGTATAATATTGAACTTTTATTATTGGCTTCAAATATATATTTTAATTCAGAAGATAGATGAGATTTATTAAATCTATCTGCAAATTTGTTGAAGCTTGTTCCACAACAATGTCAAATCGACATAAGAAAATGTTAAATATAGTCTCATAAATTTTTAAATACGGAAATTTCTCTTGAAATTTTAAATCTATAATTATAATTTAGATTTTATTGGAGTTATTTCCAAAGAATTTAAAGAAAACAATAAAATTTTGGTGCTAGGTACACGGGTGTACACTGTATATTAAACCCGTGTAGTATTTCGCTTTTCTCAACCATGGCACACTTCAGTTTCGTATTAATTAACAAACTCTAAGTAAATTGCCTCTGTTCCGCCAAGTGACACTACAGAGTACAAAGAGTCTTTGTCTTAATCATAAGCTTGATCTGGCACCCAGCGACCACTGAGTGACTCGGGTTAAGTCGAACATGAGATAAATACTCAGGCTCTGACTCTAGCTCTGGTTCCCTCAGAGATTCAACCCTCATACATAGATATACGTTTTGGTGCAGCCTGTACTGCACATAGAGTTCTCTAGCAATGAGTGACTAGCTCACAATAACGGTCAGCGGGGTCCCTTCCCCTAGAAAAGGGGGCCCTACCCAGTGCGTCCATTTAGCTTATAGATCGAAGAGGCCCTAAGTTGAAAGGTGAAGACAAAGTGGTCACGCATTTTTAAGATATTAGCCTGAAAAAATTCCAATATTCCTCAATAAAGAAACAAAGAGGTACAAGTGTGTGCTCGAAACAACTTTATTTCTTACAGTGTATATGTTACCCACCACTATTTCTTGCTTACAAGAAGTGTTTAAAGTACCCTGTATGCACTCTCACACATCTTTGCAATGATTCTCTACCTGTTCAAAAAAGCCAGGCACTGAACATGTAGTATTACAGGCAACTGTAAAATGTTAACTTTATTATTTACAGTGTATATGTTATGTTTTGTGCGTACACTTTTACCTTTTTGTCTCTTATTGAAGAGTGTTGGTGGGATCTTTTTAGGCTAATATCTTGAAATGCAAGGTATTACAACCTCTGTTGATTATACATTTTCATTGCATTTTGTGATGGTTTTGTGATTCGAAATCCTTCAATGATTTCAAGTATTAAATTCTAACGAAAATTAAAAAATAAATAAATAAAACTCGTCTCTACCCTCAAAGTAAACTTTTTTGGCATTTTATAATAGTACAATAAAACCCGTTAAGATGTTCTCGCCTAAGATGTTAGAATGTGCATGGGGACACGATTCAGTTCAACCACTTTGACACTTAATAACTAATTCCTGTCTTAAACCATCTGACTCCATCTGATTCTAACCATTCAGACCACAGAAATTATTAGGCTTCAAACGAGGTGAACCAAATCATTCCCCCCTCCCCCACACACACAGTATAACATCTACACATATAGAAAAAACCTCGAATATTTTGCGTATCTCGAAATTTCGAGGTGTCCCGAGTCCAAAATTGTAAAAATTTGGGAGGGGTCATTTTTTGACCGAGCGCTATACTTTCCATCTGTATATGCACAACAACACATACAATGAACATGCCATAACACTATTTTTGTGTATCACTGCAAGAACTTACTCGAGTCATTTATTACTATTTCTAATTTAGTTCTTAAGTCTTTACTTTTATGCTTTTCTAATACATTCAGTGTGGCTCCCGCAAACGCTTAAAGTAATTCTAAATATCTCCTCCGAATAACAATTAGAAAAATTCTTTCTTAGGTAGTGTGCAAAATTTCAGATTTTTAAATAAAGAAGTTGTCGAAATATAATAAATTAAAAAGTGCGAAAATCCTCCAAAAAAAAAAACTGTATTTCTTCTTCTTCTTTTACTTCTTCTTATTGTTTATTCGGCACTACAGAATCTTCTAGAGCACGGGTCACCAAACTACGGCCCTCAGACCAAATCAGTTCTTTCAGACCGTCGCCGCACTGTACCACAAATTAGCTAAAATATAATTATTTATATGGAAATATCATAGATTATAAATGAAATTACTACGCAGAAAAAATTAAAATAAGTGTAAATAAAAATGCCAAAATTGGTCCAATCTCAATTCTGCATTTGACAGTAATATAATTTTTAGGAAAATCACTGAAGAACTTTTTGTGTAAGTACCTGCAATGAAGTTTCTAAGAAAAGTAATTAATTGTTTGTGTATTGGTAAATACAATCGACCCCCCCTATAAATATAACTGTAGATTATTCCGTTTTATATGAATTCCATGTTGTACGAGTCACTTAGATTTTACAAATACGTGAGCCATTCACAGCCCGGCACACATATTTGTAAAATCTAAGTGACTCGTACTACATGGAATTTATATAAAACGGAATAACCAACAGTGTTATGGAAGGTCGACTGTAAATATGTTGGTTTTCTTTATTTTTTGAATATTCAGCACACTATATTAAACAAAATGGTTATGCGGCCAGCTGTAAAATAAGATTGGTGACACCTGTTCTAGAGGTTAAACAGGTCTAAAAAACTCAGATTATAGACTCAAGTCTCTCTGGTTATCAGCGATAAAAATTATTTTGAAATACTTCTGTCGGGTATACTTAGTCTGTGGAAAATTTTGTGTGTAAAACTTGATAAAATTTTCACACATTAAGCCACAAAGCCACGTCAAGGCGACACCCATTTTGTGGTAGTTTTTTGATTTCCAGAAACTGACCCCGATTGCTTGACAGAATAACAATCGGGGAATAAAACTGGATATTCGTTGCTATTCCATTAATTCATTAAACTGAAACCCATGGCAAAAATTCCAATTATTAGGTTATTTTAATCAAATGTTTTTTGGAGGAATTCTCGTAAAAATTTGTCAATTTCAAATAAATATAGCAACGAATAAAAGATTACGCTAAAAATGTAAATATAACTAATATAGTATAATATAAATAATATACTGTAATATGAAAATGTATATCAAAGAGTCTCTCGTTGTCACACAGAACATCAATTTATATCCCACAGGTCTTTCAACACCCAAATGAAGATCTATCAGTGGTCGTGTCCTCTACAGAAGAGTAAATCTTGTTACCAACCATAAATTGACTTTTAAAAAGAAATGTGAAAACTAACCTGAAACAGATTACAAGTGTATATTTTAATCTTTCAGACCATACTATATAAAAGCCAATGGATCTTCAATAGAAAGCATGTTAATCACGTTCTACATTTGATGCCTGCAGTGGATAGGCCAGTGATCAGAGTGAAATTCGGATCAGGAGGCCCCCATCATTCCACAAGCAGAGCAAATGGATGCTTGGTTTGGGCAAATATGCTACTAAAATAGGCTACCAGGCATAACATTCTGATGCTTGCAGTAGGTAGGCCTGTGATCAGAGTGAATTTCGGATCAGGAGGCCCCCATAATCCCACAAGCAGAGCAAAATGAATGCTTGGTTTGGGCAAATATGCTACTGAAATAGGCTACCAGGCATAACATTCTGATGCTTGCAGTAGGTAGGCCTGTGATCAGAGTGAATTTCGGATCAGGAGGCCCCCATAATCCCACAAGCAGAGCAAACGAATGCTTGGTTTGGGCAAATATGCTACTAAAATAGGCTACCAGGCATAACATTCTGATGCTGGCGGTATGTAGAGCTGCGATCAGAGTGAATATTTGCCCAAACCAAGAATCCATTTGATCTGATTGTGGGATGATGGGAGCCTTCTGTTCCGAAATTCAATCTGATCACAGGCCTACCTATTTGCGAATTTCAAATTATGAGGCCTCCATCATCCCACTAGCAGAGTGAATGTATTCCTGATTTGGGTAAAAGTTGGCAAAGTAAACTGTAAAAATTTAATATGCCTTGCGGTTTAATATGGTTAATTAATAATGAATGTGATATTGTGGATTGATGATTTTGTATTTTTGTTAATGTTCACTTGATACCTTATTTCGGTCCCCTCTTTTCAAACTTTGGTTAATGAAAAAATAGAAGTTTTAATACAAAGACCTGGGTTACAAACTGTCTGTTTGACAACCAGTATAAGCAAATGTTACTATTTCTGTATAAGCTATAAAGTGAAATTTGTTGAAAGTGTTTTCAACAATTCTTCTTTTATATAGATTTACAGTCAACTATGTGTGATATTCAAGNATGAATGCTTGGTTTGGGCAAATATGCTACTAAAATAGGCTACCAGGCATAACATTCTGATGCTGGCGGTATGTAGACCTGCGATCAGAGTGAATATTTGCCCAAACCAAGAATCCATTTGATCTGATTGTTGGATGATGGGAGCCTTCTGTTCCGAAATTCAATCTGATCACAGGCCTACCTACCTGCGAATTTTGGATTATGAGGCCTCCATCATCCCACTAGCAGAGTGAATGTATTGCTGATTTGGGTAAAAGTTGGCAAAGTAAACTGTAAAAATTTAATATGGCTTGCGGTTTAATATGGTTAATTAATAATGAATGTGATATTGTGGCGTGATGATTTCGTATTTTTGTTAATGTTCACTTGATACCTTATTTCGGTCCCCTGTTTTCAAACTTAGGTTAATGAAAAAATAGAAGTTTTAATACAAAGATCTGGGTTACAAACTGTCTGTTTGACAACCAGTATAAGCAAATGTTACTAATTCTGTATAAGCTATAAAGTGAAATTTGTTGAAAGTGTTTTCAACAATTCTGCTTTTATATAGATTTACAGTCAACTATGTGTGATATTCAAGCATTTACGTGGAGGGTTGAAATTTTCTAAAGCCAAACTGTTAGGATGAACGTCATTAATTTGTATGATAAATGCTTTTTATAAGCATTTAGTGCATTGCATTATAATTACTAAACTTACAAACTCTGGTACGTGGATATGTTTTACAATAGTTGAAAACACTTTCAAATATAGGAATCGTCCATGAATTATGTAACGCTATTTTTATACTTTTTAACAACTATTCCATCTCTTGTAACGGTCCTTAACGTCATTGCAAATACCTACATCCAAAATTACGTAACGTATAACTTCGATCTTAATTGTAATAACAAGTAAGAAATAATACACAGCACGGGATATCAAATGTTGCATCACTTTATTAATTACATGCGTAACATATAAAGCAGTGACACAAACACTATGGTTCCCTATGCACCACTTCAGAAACAAAAGTGAGTCATTGTCTTACCGGGAGATCCTAGCATTATGTAATGTTTTCATTAACACCTCACCTCATGTATCTGCGTTACATAATTTATGGACAGCCGTATGCATAATATGCCATTACAATTATACAGACTAATTTATTGTGGACAGAAGCAACTCTAGAAGCTCTATTCCCGGACACGTGTTTATTAATGCTTACATTAATGATTTAAGCATCTGGATGCAGAAGTATTTTGTTACCACATACGCAGACAATATAATTAACACCAATAGTTTTGATACCAGTAAACAATTATATGAATTAACCATTAATGTCAAAAGATAACTACAGTTAGTGTAAATGAGGCCATCTTTTTAACGCAAATGTAGTAAAATTAACTTTCCAAAATNGAGAAGATTCCATTGCTGTAGTCTTGACCCTAGAAGTTCCGCCTTATTCTTTGACAGGTCTAGGTCTCAAATGAGATCACTCGATTCCGCTTGACTCAGTCTGTGTGGTGTATCATCTTTTGCCTCAAAATCAGGGTCATGGAATGTGAAAGGCTTGTTGGGTTCTTCTTCTCCCACACTTTCTTCATTTTCTACTTCAAGCTCATAATGTTGGGATGGAGTAGGAACTGGTAAACTATCTGAATGTGGAATAGGTCAAATAGCAGATGGAAGATTTCGATATTGAACTGTTCCTTTTTTATTTATTGACAATCCTGCCTTTATAGGAGGAGTCAAGCAGAAATAGCAGTCATCTTTATGGTTTGTAGGTTCCCGCACAGCAAAAGCCATAGATCGTTTTTTTATTTTTCAGCCATTCTCGTAGTATAAGTGAACAAAAGTTGCAACATACAGTAAGTGTGGAGCCCATGACTTATCCTGGTCCTCTACCTTCGTACCAAAATAATGGTGATAGGCAATCTTCACAAGAGGCGTCAGATTGCGTTTCTGTGACGAAAATATTATTTTACCACAAATATAACAAAAATTGTTCATTAAATTTACACATTTTCGTGGCATTTTGGTATAATCAGTATTACACTCCAAAACCAGGAATTCTGTAAAAAGAAAAACAGAAGCAATATTAAACTCAGAGTCATAGTTACATTTATTATGTTTATAATCTACAAACGTATGGATAACGTTGTGCTATGCCAGTTGAGAGGTGACAACTCCCAAAAAAATAAATTTTTCCCAAAATAAAATGTAGACCCTAAAAATAAGACATGTTAATGTATCTCCAAAGCAAGAACTAATCGGTCATTTTTATGGTGATTTTTAATTTAACAGATGGAAATACATAAGAATACGCTAATTTTGAGCCCGAAACATTTTCATTGTTGTGCAGCGTTATCGGACTTTCTGGTCAAATTAACCTTTTGTTTAAGAGGAGGGAAACTCGCTTTTTTCAGCTTTTTAAATAATACTTTTAATTAAATTTTGTTGACTGTTTTCTAATTTTATTATTATTTTTTAATCTACGCAATATATAAATGATTACATTATAAATAGAATCCCTATAACATTCGCACAAATTAATGTATAATCATTCTCTATGAGAAATTACAGCTATTTCAATAAGCTATTTTTTATAATTAATAAATTATATAAATACAAAAATATTTAATAATTTTCTATAACATTTTTATTATTTTATATTTAAATTTTTAAATTATCATCGAGCTTTTCATCGTCAGACACAAAGGCTATTTTCTGTATAGTTTTATAATATTCTGCTATTATAAAAATCATTAGTAATCTTAAATCAATAATAAATTATCATCAATTAATCAATTATTTTATGTATAAAACATCTTTACGTTAAAAAAAATCCTGATATCAAATCAGTATCCAATGTATTTTTATAGTTTTATCTATCTATTTATTTTATCATTGTAGTTCTAGAATATAATAGAGTATATCGTCAGAGTATATTTAAGTTTAAATGGAGTTCACTACAAAATACTTTCAGCCATATTGGATTATTGGATTTTTCATCGCTTTAATATCAGTTACTTACATGTAAGGTTTTTCATTTTCCTCTCTTAAATTAGAACAATTATTAAATATTCTAATTAACATACTAATATACTAACATACAACTAACTAACATTCAATTTAAATACTTTAGTTATCTCAGTATAGTGTATAGTTACTGGAAAAGAAGAGGAATTCCTTCACCAAAAACAACGTGGTTGTTGGGTTCATACGGGACAAGATGGAAAGAGGTACATTTCTTATTAATNGAGGCATAAGAATTTTAGAAAGGCTTAGGTGGGCATAGCACAAAAAAGGTTGGGAAACACCGATATAGACAAACCGGGCAACCGCCTACAGCGCAAGCCACGATGGGGCGCAAAATTTCAAGCCATGCTTTATTCATATTTCACTAAAATATTAAATTAATAAGTGATATATATTTTAGGTATGGATTTTTTTCCTTATCACCCACACATCACACTATTTTAATATTTAACACTTGGTTCATTTTTGTTCCTTTCCTAAATGATTTGAACTTAGCGCTATTTAAAATTGGTTAAGATAAATATTTTAAAACGTTGACATTTTAATGGCTGCGGAACACGTGTCGGGCTATCAACAGAGAAATAAAAAATATATCTGGAGAGATGATGACATCTGTCTATTATTAGATATATGGCAAGAAAAAGTATTTATTTCTAACCAAAACTTCCATTTTGTTTGTTGGTGTTTGTGACTTATCATGTAGTTATGTCAATTTTATCATCGTGTGTAATAGCCGGGTTCTTCTCGAGCAGACTGCCTGTGCGAACAGCTCGACGTTCGTCTGGCGACAGTCACAATTGAGATTGTAGGCAAATCGAGACTGAAGTGAGTCGTGGATTGTGTGCAAAGATAGTACTGTATTACACTTGATGAATCCTTACTTATCAAAAGTGGAATTATGATTGCTAGTTGACTTTAGTCAGTACTCTTTGTCAGGAATGTTTTTCATTTTTAAGAAGTTTTTGCAACATTTTTCGATCTGGTTTCTCAAAAATGATTAAAGATTTTTTTTTCTTTTTTTATTTCAACTTTGAACAATCCAACAATTAATTCTAGAACTGGCCCTATGATATTTGTAGTTTTCTGTTTTGATTGATCAAAGCTTAGCACCAGAACAGTTAGAGATTTGTGTGGTTGTGTCGTATTGGTTGGCTGCTTATGATGAGGTTGGACACAAATTGTGAAGACTTGACACGCTTTTTTGGGGCCCTGCAGAATCTTGACACCAAGTAGGTTACACTTACCACTAGAGGTTTTGTGGATGGCGTGGTCATGTATGCACGAATTGGGGTAATAACATGGATGAGAAAATGACAAACAGTTTTTATTGTCAGTCGCTTTGAGGATTTCTTGACTTTTCATTGGCTCTCTCTATTGGATTTTGCTAATACAGTTAATAACAATAATAAATAAATAAATCTGGTAAACCAGTATTAATCCGAATACCATTGGAGTGCTAATTTATAACATTTCAAACCGTCATATAAATAATCTATTGGACTAATAATTTTAATGAACCATTTTCAATTGATCTTTAAAAATGTCTTATTGATCCCAGGGTTGATACTGAACACTTTGGGCACTCCCAATCTGTACAGCAATTGGATGCAATGTTTTACTTCTTTTGGTTGAATTTATATTACAGTAAATATTTACTGATTACACTGTTACACTGATACTTTTTCTTTTCATACAGAATTGTTGGAAAAAGAAGAATTTAAAGAGAACAATGTAAGTTGATTATAAATTTCAATAACATATAATATATAAGTAATATATTATAATGTTAATAATTATAATTATTAATATTACAAGTTATAATATTTATAATAATTGTAATAATTGTTATTCTTTTTAAAATTTTTTTCATGAAATCTCTTAGATTATTTTTAAATTACTTTTCATATGATATATGATAAGATCGCACCGACCTGCACA